GACAACGAATCCCAGCAGATAGTCAATGGCGATAGTATACTTCAAAGTGGTAAAACGGACTCTTATAACTTAAGGCTTATATTACTATAATAGTCAGTAATAGTTAGGTTTAAATACTTTATTTTTCTCATAAGAAACAGAGCTTCACTTATAATGAGACATAATTGTAAATTATATGTATAAAACTACAGACATTGCCTCTGGTGCTTAATTTATAACTAATTAGTAGAAGAGAGTAATGTGTGAAAATGATTTTTTAGCTTATTTTTAAATGTATTAAAAAATGTATTAACATTATCACATTCTTTAACGTCATTTGGAAAGTTATTGTATAGCTGCACTCCTTCGTAAATTGTTTTTCTTCCATAATTAGTTCGTTTATTAGGAGCTCAAGTTTGTATTTGTTTCTTAGGTTGTGCGTATTTAATAGTTCATATTCATTTAATGCACAAAATCACACCATTTAACGTATATTAATTCACTTCATATCATTACATAATCAATACTCGTAACACAAGAGCAACAATCCGCTTTCGAAGCTTCCGCCAAATATCTCCATACCATCTTGAAAAAAGAGAAAGAACAAACTTACTATACCTACAGGCTGTGAGGTATTCTTTCATTCCTCCCTTCTGAGGACTGAACTACAAAACCAACTACAAGAAGCAAGAGAAGAGATTTGCTTACTAAACAATAGACTTACGGCTCTAACAATAAACAATCGGTATGAAGAGTACAAAAATTATAAAAACCGAAAAATCCACATATTTTCTAGCGAAAAAGTAAATAAAGTCACTAACATAGCGTTAGCAACTTTTGCTGACGAAAACTATGAGATATGCCATTTCCTGAGATCTAATGTAGGTATGATGCACCTTCTAGACAACCTATGTAGTCAAGCCAAGTATCTTTCGAAAAATGACTTTTGTATTCTATTAATAGGAGAAGAAGATTTCAAACGAAGCGGAAATTATAAAAATTGTGTTCAAGAACTAAGAGAATCTTTGTTGAAAATAAAAAATACGACCGTTATATTATGCTTACCTACGTTTAAATTAGGAAAATACCACCAAATATATAATAAAAGGATTGAAACATTTAATGCATTGCTTTACAAAGAAGTACAAATTCATGAATTTGCATTTATACTAGATTCTAACCTTGAGCTAAGTTATGATTACACTATGTTCTCTAGACCATTGGGTAAGTTGAATAACCTTGGCATGAAAATGATCTTCCGAAATTTAAAATCATTATTACAACAATTATGGTATGATATTAATAAGACTGAAAACAAAAACACAATGCCGTGTAATGTATCTGAAACAACCCATACCATAAACTCAACACCAAAATCTTTTTTTCGGGATTAATAATGTAAGTATTTTGTTCCAAAATATGCAAAGTTTATTCAATAAAACTCATCTCCTGGAAACTTATTTAGAACAAAATTTACCACACTTAGTTTGTGTTTCGGAATCGTGGCTGTCTAATTATAAACTAGAATTAGTAGTATTTCAAAACTATCATATAGCAACCTCTTTTTGCCGAGAAAACTACACAGGAGGTGGGGTTTGCATCATACTAAAAAATGATTTAGAGTACATAGAAATAAAAGATGTGAGCAGCTTCTCAATAGAGTGTGTAATAGAACTTTGTGCTGTGGAAATCACCAAATTAAATATTATTATTGTTAGTTTGTACTGGAATAATAGAGAGAGCGAAGTTTTCTACACACAAATGAAAATGTTGTTACAGTATTTAAATAGAAAACATGACAAAAAACGAATTATAATTGGAGGTGACTTTAACGTGAATATTTTAAAAGAATCACAACAATCAATTTTTCTGTTAAACTTTATGTTAGAATATAATTTTATTCAAATTATAAAGGAGCCAACACGAGTCACTTGTAATTGTGCCACATGTCTAGACCTTATCTTCATTAACTTCTCCTTAGCGGAGTTAAAAGCTTATGTTGCAGATTTAGGATTCTCAGATCACAAAGGAACTATGATTAAATTGAATACCGAAAATACCAAAATCAAAACAATTCCTAGGGTAATTACAAAACGATTTTATAACGAGAAAAACATAAATGAATTTAAATCTCAACTTTCACTTATAGACTGGAGTACTATTCTAAATGTCGAAAGAATCCTTAATGAAAACTATAATATATTTCATGACATACTACAAAACTTGCTAAATAAATGCATTCCTAAAAAAACCGTTATTACAAGAGCAAGACAAAAAACTCATTGGTTAACAAAAGGCCTCAAAATTTCATGCCAAAATAAAAGAGTTTTAAAGATCCTAACTTCGTATACAAAGAACCTGAATTTAAAAAAAAACACTATAAAACATTTGAAAAAATACTGAAAAAAGCAGTAAATAAGGCCAAAAGAATAGATTATGCAAATAGATTAAAACAATCTGATAATAAAGTAAAATGTATGTGGGCCATTATAAAGGAACGTACTAATAAAACAACAAATAAAATAAAAGAAAATATTGAAATTTTAGTGGATAACCAATATGTATCAGAACCAAAACGGGTAGCTAATTTATTTAATAATTTCTTTACATCAGTTGGCCACGTCTCAAAAGCAAACATACCATCTCAACAAATACAATCCTTTAAAAATACAAGTACATTAAATACTATGTTTTTATGTCCTATTAAACCCGAAGAAATTAGTAACATTATCAAAAAATTAAAAAATAAATATAGTTATGGAATAGATGAATTACCACCGAAATTAATAAAAAAATGTGTTGATTCATTATCCTCTCCATTAAGTTTTTTAGTCAACCAATCTTTTACGGAAGGGACTTTCCCAGATAAATTAAAAACTGCTATAGTAAAACCTATACATAAAAAGGAATCAAAAACAGACACTACAAATTATAGACCAATTGCAATGTTACCTACATCTTCGAAAATCTTTGAAAAGGCAATGTCAAATAGAGTTTACGCATTCTGTGAAAAATTTAAACTATTTGATAATTCACAAAATGGTTTTAGGAAGAAACGATCAACGACACTTGCAGTATACAAATATATACAAAAAGTACTTGATATTATAAATGAGAAGAAATACGCCGTAGGTATATTATTAGATATGTCCAAAGCCTATGATAAAGTACAATACCCAATACTGTTACAGAAGTTATATGACATCGGTATACGTGATACAGCATACAAATGGTTTAAATCTTACCTAGAAAACCGAAAACAATATGTAGGGATAGTGCATTATAACCATGACACTGGTGAAATCTGTAACGTTAGATCTGACGCAATCCATACTACTTGCTCCATCCCTCAAGGTAGCGTTTTGGGATGTTTGCTATTTATAATTTACATAAACGAACTGCCTAGGGTATTGAGTGAAACCTCTGTTATATTTGCAGATGACATCTCTATTCTTATTTCACACACAAAAGACCAGAATTTAAATAATAAACTGAACCATGTATTAAACCAGGTCACAAATTGGCTGACACATCACAACCTAGAGATCAATTTTAATAAAACCAAAATTATGCAATTCCGACCAGTTCAAAAATCACCTCTAAGTATCGCTTTTAATTATAATAATACACCTATAGGAACTGTTGACAACTTCAACTTGCTAGGCCTGGAAATTGACTGCCATATAAACTGGAAAGCACATATAAATAAAGTTAAAAGCAGGCTATCCAGGTTCACATACGCATTACGTGAAATAAAGAAAACCACGGATGTCCCCAGCGCTCTGTCGGCATATTACGCATACACATCTTCGTGGCTATCATGCGGTGTCATATTGTGGGGAAATTGTACTGATGCGCAGCAATTATATATAATCCAAAAAAAATTTATAAGAATTTTGGCAAATATAAAAATTCCAGAAAGTTGTAGGCCCCACTTTAAAAAACTTAAAATATTGACTTTCACATCTATTTATATTTGGGAAGCATGCAAATTTGTAAAAAGCCATCCAGAACTATTTAACAAATTAAGCGACACTAATTACAAATACTCAATTAGAAATAACAAAAATAGGCTAATATTGCCGAAATCCACACTCGCATTATATAGCTCTAGCCCCTACTGTATGACAGCAAAAATTTTTAATAACCTACCAAATTACATAAAAATTCTAACGGATACAACATTATTTTTATCAAAATTAAAATTATATTTAATTGAAAAATGCTTCTATAATTTAAATGAATATTTTGATACAAATGTTATTTAATTTGTGTAGACAACTTCGACCTTCTAATTTTATTTGTTTTATTTAATTATTCTTCAATAATTATTGTTTTTATTTAATTTACTATATAATTTTATTCTGTATATATATATATTTTTTAATTTATTATTATTGTTTTTGTTTACTTAACATTGTGATTATCAATTGAATTAAATTTTTAAAATATTCAATAATTTATCTAATGTTGTATAACTTATTTAAAAATGTAATTTAATAATGTAACTTAATAACGTAAATCTAATAATGTAATTTAATAATAGTACTCAATAATGTAATTCAATTTTTTATGATTGCTACGCCCAAACTGGGTTCAAATGCGGACTATTTTTGAAACATCACATCTATTGATAACCATTTGATTGCAATAAAGATTATGATTATGATTATTATGATTATTATGACTCCATCTTAGTCCGTGTCCTTAGGAGACCTTATGAATTTCTAAACTTACAAATGTATATCACTACAGAATTGAGTTATATATTTTAAGATTGGTGTGACGAACTGTTAAGATAAGTGGAAGTCGATGGTTATAGTTGGCTCAGGACTGTGCTTTGTTGCATTTCTTTGGAAAGCTCCGTTTTCAGTTTTTTTCTTCAATTTTTCAATTTTTCTTAATAAGTCCACTAGGACTTTTTGTATTTATTGTAATCATGACGATGATGATATTTTACTTAATAAAATAATATTAATAGTATTTATTTCCCTATAGGAAGAAATCCACGATTTCTTGACTTAAGTTAGCTTGAAGTGCTCCAGCTTGTGTCCAATTGCCATAAATATATTTTCTACTGTACAAGGATGTCCTGAAACAAAAGTAATAATAATAATTATTATAATACGTGTATCGTTTATTAAATAAGTTACGACTAAAAGCCAAAGTGCTGTTTCATCTATATTTAGCCGGTTACAATTAAATGCAACTGAATGCGGTTGGTCAAACGTAGGTTCATTGGAATCATTTTTAATTTCGGGGTTGCTCAATTTTGCTCCTTATTCTACTGCCTGTTACTTGAAACGTGCTTTCGTATTTTTGACAAAGTCATAGTCATTTTCATAATTATTCGGATTTAACTATATTTTTTTATTTAATTATATTAATTGTATGTGGTCTATGGTGCTAAAGCCCTTTCGGAAACCGGCTTGTTCGGGAGGCTGGAAGTCGTCAAGTCTGCGCGCGAGACGATTCGTAATGACTCTCGAAAACAGCACGTAGACGCGGCTCAGAAGGGAAATCGGTCTGTAGTTCTTCAAGAGAGCGTTGTCACCTTTCTTGAAGAACAAGACCACCGCACTTCTGCTCCACGCCTCCGGTGTAATGCCACCATGGAGGACGGAATTAAAGAGCTTCTGAAGGACTTCAAGTACCGGTCTTCCACCCGCTTTCAGAAGCTCCGCTGTAATTCCATCCTCGCCTGGGGCCTTACCGTTTTTAAGGTGCTGGAGAGCCATTCTAATCTCGCTCAGACTGACGTCCGGGATATCTTCGGAATAGTGTCGGATGAGACTCGCTCTTGGATCGTTACTCACACTTGCGTGTGGCTCCAACGATGACGTGTACAGCTGCCCATAGAACCTCTCAATCTCACTCAAAATCTCAGGTGTCCCGGAAACGATGCTGCCACATTCTGTCTTCAGCTTTGACAGGTGGCTCTTTCTGGCAGACAGATCTCTGGCAAAGACTTTGGAGCCTTGGTTCCGCTCGATCGCTTCTTCAATACGAGCTGTATTGAAGTTGCGTAAGTCCCGCCGCATGCATTTGGAGATCTGTCTGTTCAGATGCCTATATGCTGTCAAGTCTGTTGAAGAATGTAGCTTCATCTCCCGTCTAACAGCCATGAGATTAAGAGTGTGATCGGAGAGTTTCTGTGTTCTTCTGCGGCGGGTCTTGCAGAACTTAGCTCCGACCGCATGGACAGTTTCCACGAGCTTGTCATTCATATCGTCCACTTCATTGCAGTCTTCTAGGCACTGAAAACGGTTTTGTAACTCGAGCTGAAAGGTCTCGGGACTTTGGAACAGAGCACGAGGGGGACGGAGCATTGACTTCATTAGACGAGACCTCTCCAACTTAACGTTTAGGTTCAGTGTGCCTCTAACCATTCGGTGATCGCTACCAGTTTTCACCCTCGCGATCACTATGTCACACTATGTCTGGCGTATGTGGACTATGAGAAAGCCTTTGATTCCGTCGAAATTTGGGCGGTGCTGCAGTCCCTTCAGCGGTGCCAAGTTGACTGTCGGTATATCGAAGTGTTGAAGTGCTTGTACAGTAGGGCTACGATGGCTATCCGAGTACAGAACCAGAGTACGAAACCTATCCAATTGCAGAGAGGTGTAAGACAGGGTGACGTCATATCCCCGAAACTCTTCACCGCTGCATTGGAAGACGTTTTCAAGCTTCTGGACTGGAAAGGATACGGTATCAACATCAATGGCGAGTACATCACTCACCTTCGATTTGCCGACGATATAGTCCTTATGGCAGAATCGCTGGAGGACCTAAGCACTATGCTCAATGACCTCGATAATGTTTCCCAACGGATAGGTCTTAAGATGAACATGGACAAAACAAAGATCATGTTCAATGTCCATGTCACACCTATGCCGGTAGTTGTTGGGAACACTAAGCTCGAAGTTGTTGACGAGTATGTTTACCTGGGACAAATAGTCCGACTAGGTAAGTCCAACTTCGACCGAGAGGTCAATCGACGGATTCAACTCGGCTGGGCAGCGTTCGGGAAGCTACGACACATCTTCTCGTCAGACATACCTCAAAACCTGAAAACGAAATTGTACAACCAGTGCGTGTTGCCAGTGATGACTTATGGAACTGAGACGTGGTCCTTCACTGCTGGCCGTATGAGGAAGCTCAAGGTCGCTCAGCGAGCTATGGAGAGGTCTATGCTCGGAGTTTCTCTGCGTGATAAACTTAGGAATGAGGATATCCGCAGTAGAACCAGAGTAACCGACATAGCCCAACGGATTAGTAAGCTGAAGTGGCAGTGGGCCGGCCATATAGCTCGAAGAACCGACAACCGATGGGGAAGAAAGGTTCTCGAGTGGCAGCCTCGTACCGGTAGGCGAAGTGTAGGGCGTCCCCCCACGAGATGGAGTGACGACCTGGTAAGACATGCAGGAAGTCGATGGATGCAGGTGGCTCAGGACCGTGCTTTGTGGCATTCTTTGGGGGAGGCCTATGTTCAGCAGTGGACTTGTGAAGGGCTGTAATGATGATGATGAACTATACCTTGTTTCAGCTAAAATCAATCGGTCGTACCTAGTTTTAGCTATGAATAAATCATACCAATATATATTTAACCAAACGCGATTGGCTGCACATGGTTGAAACTGGCTAAATGTAAGTGTAAACGCACTTAGCTTTTTACAACAAATATAAGGGTCGCGTGCCATCAGCACTTATCTAAATTATTAGATTGTTCATAACTATTGATCGCGTTACTAGTTTTTTTCAATCCCGATAATTTTAGCTTCTTACAGCCTAGCAAAAGTACACTATTGAACACCGGCCTCCCTCATAGACGGTTTCATAGGAAGGATATTTGCCATAGTTGCCACGCTTGGCAGCGGGTCAACAACCGCAGTTTTTTTTAAGTTTCTTTTCCTGTTATTCATTTTAGCTCATTCTAGAATTATTATTTATAAAAATATTATATAATATCTCCCCCACTTTTAGGATCATCAAAACGTTGATAAAGACAACAATAATTTTACCCAAAAAATATAAAATGAAAAATAACAGTAGCACATTAATTCTTCTTATAGATTGTTTCCGCAAAATTTTTCGGACATATGACAGAGAAAACAAAATAATTAGTTTTATGTTTTTGAAATGGTTTTATATAGCTTATTATAATTCACACGCGACACCGTGCTCTTAAAATATAGGTATATCACCAAAAGAAGGTTATTATTTTATATTTAAGAAGGAAATTCACACGTCCTCCTAAATATTTCAATTTAACAGAAATGATAAATGGGTTGGCTTTTGTTTACACATGTAATATAATACCGCCTTTTGTTTTTCACTTAATATTTGTTTATTTTTGTTATATTAATGTTTACTTGGTGTAATATGAAGAGTATTGTATTGTGTATTGTATTGTATTGTATTGTATATCGTCGATCGACCACGGTTTACTCACGTAAAATAACATTTTAAGGCAACCCTTATTCTATGAGTTAAAAAAAAATAGTAGTGCTCCAAGTAAGCTTAAAATGTAGGGGTAGTCAATGTAGTAGTCAAATGGCGGATTTGGATCCATCTACGACATTCAAGTTTGCGGTTCGACCTTTAACCAATAAGCAATTGTCACTTATTATTTGTATATTAGAAAAGGCGTTTTAATAAAGAACGTAATAATATTCTCCCTTAAACACTATTTTATTACCTAGATTAATCCATTGGTCTTCATATCCGGCGTCCAATCGAGCCGAGCGTATAGCTTCGCGTAATGCATGAGTCACAACAGCTGCTAAGCAAAGTGCTGGCTCACCAGTAGCTGTCGAAATAATTGTAGGCATTAGGTTTCGATATAGCGTGAAAATGATTAACCGTCATATATTATTTTGTAAATGTAAATTAATATCGCGATGATAATATAGAAATAATAATGAATAATTTGCACAATTTACATTTTCTTGTCTATTTTCATGTCGATAATTAAGTATAAGTTTCTAATAAATGTAATAAAGGTTTCAAAGCAGACTTTAAGATATTATACGTCGTGGAATACTTTAAGATAAAAAGTATACATTCGATGTGGTTATTAGTCTAACAAGAAATTCTATTTTAGCCCACTTATGTGACAATTTCGCTTTTCATATTCAACCGAGGATGGATGTAGTATGTAGGTGCTTATGGGCCACAGTATCTACGTCCCGTGTACTGGACTAAGAGTTCATTTTTCACCCGACGCCTTTAAAATTACTTTAAACAACATTTATAAGTAGTAACTTATATATAATTTAAGTGCATGTTTATTTTAAGACATATTAATTATAATACGATATTATCTTCGAGGGTATTATTTAAAGATAAAGTATACAACCCATATAAATCTTTTACGTGGTAGAGCCATGCTGCACCTACATATATACAGTATAGTTGTAGCACAAATGGGTCGGCTCGACCGGGGAAGGACCACGCTCTCACAGAATACCAGCGTAAAATAGCAACTTAACCATGCTGTGTTTTGTATGGTGAATGTAGCGAATTGGAGATCCTTTTTACTGGAAAAGAGGCATTCCATCTTAGTCCTCACGGGTGACAACGCATTTGCATTTTGATTCGCCAACGAGGACAGACGTAGATGTTTATGGGTCACAGCAACCACTTACCATCAGGTGGACTGTGTGCTCGTTTGTCACCCTATCCTATAAAAAAAATAACTAGATTCCATGATATTTAAAGCCACTTTTAAATTAATTTTTAGTAATTAGTAGTATTTACCTAAATTTTGTGTACTTAAAATTTAATAGTAAGAGAAAAATCAACCTTTCGATTGGAGAACTCCATGTTTATTGTTAGAATTTCTTCTGAAGTAGATTCTAAAATCAGCAGGGATATCTTTTAAACCTGGCGGTTTGTAAGTCCAAGTACGATCAGTTAAAATTCTTCCGGTTGCTGGATCGTAAACAATTTTTTCAGAAGTCCAATAGCCCAAACCCATAACAAATGCCCCTTCAATCTAAATAGATAAAAAATGTTAAAAATAAGCAGTGAATATTAATTTCTTTTAAAATTTTCTGCTTAATTGTTGAAAGGTCTGCAAATTACAAATCTACAGATAAAAAAGTATAGTATCTTAAATAACAGAGAAACTAAGATCACTTTGATCGTCTCTCTCCAGTAGTATCGGAGTCGTCGTTGGAGTCGGAGTTGTCGTTCTATTGGACTATGATAGTGAGGGGACACATAGTGCATCTGTTCTTACGCAAACATTCGAGCACCCTAAACCTGTCTCTTTTAGATGGTTAATCTCCATTGCCGTCATGACCCAAAATTCAGTCTAAGCGAAATTATTTGAATATGTTATCTTGTAACTTGTACTCCGTTATTTATTGTGTTGTAATTACATTTAACGATTATGCTTTTCACGACACCCGTAAGTGAAAATGAAGTGATAGATTCTTTTCGACTATCATCACATGGCTATGATAATTTTACATAATCTTTTACACGGTAAAGCCACACTGCAGCTGTATTATTGCAAACTAGAGTAGAATAGAATATATTGCTGCTGTGTTTCGTATCTTGACTGACGGATACGGATCGGAGATCATTCTTTACTGCTAATGAGGCTTATTATCAGGTGGACTGTTGTCGTCTGTTATCGTAGCTTCAAATTAAATAAAATTTAATTGTTTGCATAAAACATGTATAAAAGCTAGCTTGTAAATAAAATCAATTTTTTCTGCATTTACCTGTCCAATATCAATTTCGGGGCTTAAGCTTCTACCAGTATCTTCAAGTAAATCTACTCTGAGAATATCATGGTTTCCAGTTAGTATATCGAGTTCGAGTTCCAAGACAACGATACCATAAATATCATATGGGGCTAAAGGATCTGATGTTGAATATGTATGTGATGCCTGTAAACAAATCCCTGAAAGGTAAGCTTCTTGTACTATTTCGTTCCAACTAGCGTTTTTATTTTTCTCTTTTATTGGTTGCAATCTCTCTAAAATAATTTCACAAGCCTTTATAACTGCGAACGAAATGCATTCACTTCCAACGCTGCCTCCAGTAGTCATTACGTTTGGCGATGTAAAGCTACTGCTTGGTTTAACGCTAACTTTCTCAAGAGGTATGCCCAAAATATAAGCACAGACCTGTGCTGCTTTCGTATTGAGCCCCTGTCCCATTTCTATACCACCATGAATAATAACTACAGAACCATCAGCGTGATATATTGATACAATGGCATTATATGGACCAATGTAAAATATTTCATAAGTCATCGGCATTAATTTAATAGCGCGTTTCTTCCAGCGGTTATTTTTATTAAAGATTTTTACATCTGCCAGTCTACTTTCATAATTAGAATCGACCTTAAGTTGTTCCATCAATTCGGGAATGGGATTATTTTCTTTAATCATATTCAAAAGTCGGGTATCAATCGGGTCTTTACCCGTATGGTGCGAAATTTGTTCCATGATATATTCTATCATTGCAATTCCTTCAGTTGAGCCTGAAATTTAAATTACATTTATATATACTACTATATTTGACCATTATTTGGATTTAGATGTCTTTAATAAAAGTATATTATTTATGAATATACATATTTACCTGGCTCAGAAGTGTTGGTTTTAAATTTTACAGTAAGCAATCTAGTCAAGTTCGAATCCCGCCAGTCGCAACAGAGTTTAGTTAAATTCTATTTTAAGTGATGATTTTCTACATACTCATAATTATTTCAAGGACGATGGACAAGGGATACCTTGGTGGACTTTTTCCTACACTAACAAAACCTTTCAGAAATAAGAGAATGTCTATGCCATGCTGTGGAAGGCTTATAGTTTAGACAACCTTAGTGCTCCTGGAGTGTTGATATAACGACGATAGGACTAATGGTATGACTTGGCGGCACTCACCGCATCTTCCGCAACTCTGGCAAGCCCACACCACTGATGCGGTGGGGATGGGGCCAAGGGGGAAACGAGTTATCCTCCAAAGCTGAAACGTGATCGGTGGTCCGGGTGCACAGTTTTCCTGACTCCGTTGCCTCGGCTTGGCTTCCTCGATGAGAACAATAGTAAGAACAGTTGTCCCCTTTTGAAAAGGGACCACTAAGCCACAAATGTGAGCGGAAACGTTCTCGTGGCCATGCGAAAGAGGTTACACCATGGTGTTTTAGTTTAAAAAAGTCCTTCATGCTGCTTTTATACGATGTAGCGACAACGTTATATACATTTTACAATTAATTAATTATATTAATAAATTAGTTATACTATTAGTTAATTAAATTATACAATTAATTATTTATATTATTTATTTATCTTCACGCATAATCTCTGACGGGGTAGCCAGAGAGAACAGATCGCCAAGTGTCACGATCCTTATCCTTTCGCTTCTTTCAGATTCATTAGCTTCTTCATACATGCACGTCTAGGTATCCGAGTACTCTTGACCCTCCCCTCTTCGAGCAATTTGCTCACATGGTCTTCGAAAGTTGGTCTCGGTCTACCTCGACACCTTTTAATATTAACTTTCGCGCTATATATTTTCTACACCATTCGGTCTTCACTCATTCGCTCAACGTGCCCAAACCATCGAAGCACGCCCTTATCAATTTTTGTGATAAGGTCATCTTTCAAACCTGCTATATTGCAAATTTCTTCGTTTCGTTTTCGGTCGGCCATGGTAACGCCGCACATTTTTCGAAGAGATCGCATCTCCACTGCATTCAACTTGCTTTTATGCTTCTTCTGGCATACTCAGGTTTCGCTGCCATATAACAAAGTCGGTACCAACACTCCGTTATGTATTGCAAGGCGTGCACCCTTCACTACGCCTTGCCTTTTGACTAACGCAGTCAGGGCAGCATTGACTTTGTCCCCGGCAGCGACACGCCTGTCCACATCTAAATCACATCTTCCATCCCGGCTAAAAGCACTCCCCAACTATACAATTTCATTTACCTGTTCTAGACATTTCTGATTTACCCATATTTCACACTTCGTTCTCTCTTTGTCCCTTTCAAATACCAGAACCTTAGTTTTATTAGCATTCAAACGGAGACCTTAAATTAATTATAATTATATTAATTAATTGTAAATTATATTTGTGATTTATTAAAAACCGAACTCAACTTGGAAATTTCTTTAACATAAAGATTCACACTTGTAACATTTACGAAGTTCAAAATTGTAACCGCTCTGCCACTACGAACGTTTCTTCAACCAAGCACTTAGGAATCAATACAGATCAACGTTTTACTTGGTATGAACACATTGATATAATAATATGTAGACTTAGAAAAAAAAACCCGGATTTTTAAAATGCTTTTAGGCATTTTATTTCAGATACTCTTATTAACAAAATTTATGTAGCATTAGTTGAATGAAGAAGTTAATAACTTAGTGCTTTCCGATATGGGGTGGAGCAACAAAATCAAAATTGTTGCAATAAAAAGTTTCAGCGTTACAGTTAGCCTTGTAATGTACTTTTTGCCTTATAAATTTCCAACAGAGAGTCTATATTTACAATCTGATGTACTAAGTATAAGAAAGTTATATTTCTTACACACAATATTATAAAAGCATAAAGATTTGTTTTATGACCCAAACATTTTGCATAAAAGAATAAAAGACATTGTACCTAACTCATTTTGTGTTAAAACTGCCTTTGCCAGAGCCTTTGTTCATTAACCAATCTATCTATCTGTATCATTTTGTCAACAAAAATCTTAATGTTTGCTTTAGAAATACCAAGGACTGCAAGTTATTGATTATAGATTGGCTAAGAATCCTGTCTTACGAAAGCACAGAAAAACTTATGTTTTCAACACATAAGGTGAAAAAATGTTTCTAGAACGTTTTGTATGGCTATGAGAGACTCTGACACAAGTACCCTAAAGTACTTAAAAGACACACCCTACCTTAAATGCATATTTTTAAATGCTTAATGAAATAACAAGATTATTATTATTATTATATGGTAGATTGGATCACCAGCTTCCTTGCAGATCGGAGCATCAAGGTCGTTGTAGACGGTGCATGTTCTGACTACAAGCCTATTAACGCTGGTGTTCCACAAGGCTGTGTGCTATCACCAACGCTGTTTCTTCTGCATATCAATGATATGTTGCTAACTGGTAACATTCATTGCTATGCGGATGACAGCACTGGTGATGCTCTATACACCGGCCGGGCCAATATTTCTCGGGAAAACGTCGCCGAGTACCGGAACAAACTTGTGTCTGAAGTCGAGTCTTTGCTGGACAAAGTCTCGGATTGGGGGCGACTAAATCTAGTCCAGTTTAATCCTCAGAAGACACAAGTTAGCGCGTTTACCGCTAAAAAGAACCCCTTTGTCGTATCTCCTCAGTTTCAAGGCACTCCCCTTCTTGCCTCAGCCAGTATCGGTATCCTCGGAGTCGACATATCGAGTGACGTGCAGTTTCGTGGTCACTTGGAAGAGAAGGCCAAATTGGCCTCTAAAAAGCTTGGCGTGCTCAGCAGAGCGGGACAGTATTTCATGCCGGCACACCGCCTGCAACTTTACAAGGCGCAGGTTAGGCCTCACATGGAATACTGTTCCCATCTCTGGGCAGGGGCTCCCCAGTGCCAGCTCCTTCCACTTGACCGCATCCAGCGCAGAGCGGCTCGAATCGTCGACGACCGAGCCGTTTCCGATCGGCTCGATTCTTTGGCACTGCGAAGAGATGTTGCATCTCTTTGCATTTTCTTTCGCATCTACCATGGGGAGTGCTCTGAGGAATTGTTCGGATTAATCCCAGCCGCCAAATTTCATGAACGCACATCGCGGCAGAACTCCCGATACCATCCACACCATCTGGATGATTGGCAGTCCACCACTGTGCGATTTAGAAGATGTTTTCTTCCTCGCACGACTTCCTTGTGGAATCGATTGCCATCAGCGATTTTTCCGGACCGATACGACTTAGGGACCTTCAAGAAAAGAGCTTACTCCTTTTTAAAAGGCCGGCAACGCATCTGCAATTCCCCTGGTGTTGCGGTTGTTCATGGGCGGCGGTAGTCACTTACCATCAGGTGAGCCGCATGCTCGTTTGCCCCCTCTCCAATAAAAAAAAAAAAGATTTTGTTATGTCTTTATATTATGCGTTTTACCTAATAATCACATAATATATTGTTTTATATATTTGTACAGAATATTATTATTTAAAGTTATAGTTTTCTACTTACCAGGTGCTCTACACCATGTATTAGAAGGAGTGTCAGTAATGAAACTATTAGCTTCGATATACCACCTTCTAGTATCATAGCAACTACGAAAATGATTTTGTGTTAAAAATGTGATAGTATCATTCCACGAAAAACCATTGTCTTGATAGAATTTGTTTTTTAAATATTGTATTACTCCTTCATTATCAATTCCGACCTGTGTACAATGTTTTGTTTTTTTAATTATAAAGAAACAAGTTTCAAACAGCATACAAACGTATGTCGCTTTAACTCACTTCAAAATTGCAATTTGTTGGTATTCGTTTTCCAACAATCTTCATATTATCTTTTAACGATAGTACGAATCTACAAGTTTTTCCAAGTAAATGTGATACTATAGCTGCTGCACATGCAATTTGACTTGATCGAGTTATTTTACCTCCATATGATCCACCAACACGACGCACGATTACATTGATACTGGAATTTCATTATTTAATAAATACTTAAATATTTATTTATATATATTTATGTTTAAAATATTTTGTTGTACAATATGTATTTGGGATATTTACCTATTAACTGGAATGTTTAAACATTGTGCGACCGCTACATTCGTAACGTCAAGCCATTGCGTAGATGAGTATACTGCTAGTCCATCTTCAGTAGGAGTCACGACACATGTTTGAGGCTCAAGGTAATAATGATATTGTGTTTCAAAATTGATATTTCCGTAAAGAACAGATTTTACTTCATTGCCTTTATCAGTTGGTTCAACAATGTGGTCTGTTTTAACTCTGTTTTCTTTCTCATTTGATTTTAAAACGTCATCAATGTTCAGTAACGGTTTATTTTTATTTATCGAAACATAATGTACCTTTACAAGACTAGCTGCTTTATACGAAGTTTTTTGTCTATCCGCCACAATAATACCAGCTGGTTGACCGTAAAATTTTACTTCTTTTGAGCAGAGAATTTCTTCATTTTGAGATAAAATGGGAATGTTAGAAGGTAAAAATGAATTTTCACCAGGAATATCTTTGGCGGTATAAAATGCTATGACACCAGGTACTTTCTACAAAAAAAGATATATTCATAATATTTTACAACTCAGTGACATGTCGATATAAATAAAGGTTATGAATTCTTACAAATGCTTCGGTCGTGTCGAAGTCACTTAATATACTGCCCGGATTTACATCAGCGGTAACAAATGATGCAAATACTTCATCGACTTGTCTCGGAAAATCATTTGAAAAACTTGCTTCGCCGCTACATTGCGCTAAAGCTTCTAATTTAGGTACTGGTTTATTTAACGGCCATACGCTTTTATCGGTATCAAAAACTTGACTTCCTTTTGATCTTATTCTCTTAAGTGTCTTGCCTCCTGATTTTAAAGTTGGATTTATTTTATTCTCAGGACATAAATATAAAACTGCCTGTTAATAAGAAAATATGTTATAAATGGAATATTATTACTAAAATAAAAAATGAATTATTTCCATAACAGTTAAAACATATAACTAAAGAACAAGAGCTAATTCACCGTAAATAATAAGGATATTGTATTTATCGATTTTCATTCAAAATGTGACATGTAGTCTTCATCTAATGAAAACATACTTACATAAATGGGTGTCGTAAAATAAAGTAAAAATATCGCTTTTTTTATAAAATGATGACTTTGTTATGGACTACGTAAAACATTAATTTTACAACATTAACAAAATTAACAGTAGAGCTACGCGTCAGCTTTTGCTGTAGCACGGATGGGCCGGCTCGAACCGGGGTGGTACCACGACCTCACAGAAAACCAGCGTGAAGTAGAAGTTTACCTCTGCATTTCGCTTGGTGAGTGCAGGTGACCGGAGGCCCTTTTTACTGGAAATGAGGCATTCCATCTTAGTCCTCACGGGTGACAACGCATCTACATTTTGATTTGTAATAGAGGATAGATGTAGATGTCTATGGGCCGCAGCAACCACTTACCATCAGGTGGACTGTGTGCTCGTTTGTCACACTTATCCTATAAAAAAAAATTCATGAGCGTAGAAATTTCCTCCTTCCCCATTCCACCATCACTCACCAAGACGGTATGCGGGTCACCATTCCATTGTTGTTGACATTGCACGTATTCGAACTAAAATTCCAGTTTGCTTCACCTTTCGGAAAGCATACAGCAAAGAAGTATTTGCCAGGGTCTGTTTTTTCGTCTCATAACAACCTGCGTGCATTCAAGGCAAGAAATAATATACTTTTATTGCGCTAAGATCGTTTGATTTGCCAACAAGATCTAAATTTAGCTTGATTCATGACAGAATCACGCTTCAGCTGTATAATAAAGCTGCAACATAAATAGGTCCACTTTATCGGAGAAGGCCCATGCTCTCACAGTTGCTGTTGTAAAATAACATCATGATCACTCTGTGTTCCGTCGTAAGTCACGCGAACTGGAATCCTTATTACTAATAACAAGGTATTCTATTTATCGAGCTCTATTAGTCGAGGATATTATATGTAGTTCTATGAGCCACAAAGTACATTTAGCATCCATGTGCACTGTGTGCTTGTTGGTCACAAGTATAAACAGGTTAGAAAATACTAATACGGACCCACCTACAAATTATTCTGAAGTTTTATGTTGTTTTGTGCAATTAATTAAATCTATAAATATTTTAATAAGTATTCAAGTTACCTTGTAATAGAGAGCTATTGCCAGTAATTTTCTAAAAGCAGCTTGCGGTTCGGGCGGTGATTCATCCGGATTTAATTCCATAGATAAGGTACTTAATGCTATTTCTAACGCTTCATTAGTAAAGAGATCTTTTCCTACTAAAATATCTTCTGTTTTCTGAGCATGAACAAAATTAGTAGCTATTCCACCATATACGATATTAACTTGTTTAATTATACTCGAATTGATTTCAAAATCGAACATAAATCCAACGTTTACAATAGCATGTGCATTTTGAGATCTAGGCATAATCTGCAAATACCATACCATTAATTTAACTATGTATTGTTAAGAGCCAATTTTTCAATCGTCAGACAAAATATAATCATAGGTTTAAATGCAACACTAACTATTAAAAAATTTACATAAAGGGTTATTTTGAAATAAGCGGGCAAATTTGCACAGAAGGTTCAGAATAAGTAATATAGGTAAATGGTATAGAAAAATTTATTAAAAAAATCTCAAATATTATGTTTTTTTTTATCTACTAAATTCAAAATCCGTGGTAATGCGTTATTCTAACTGTTTTTACTGCACACGCACACATTCGTAAGGGTAGGCAAAAACGTTGTTGTCTATAAATCACATTCAATTTGGGATAAAATAAAATAAAAGAGGAAGCCTTACTCGTATTTACAAAAATTGCAATAACGGTATATCATTGTAAATACATACACACATTAAATTTTAAACTTAAGTTCAAACATATAAAATATTTGAACTTAAGTTTAAAATTTGCCTACTCTTTGAAATATAACCCTGTATATCCGTACACAATCAAATAAAAAAATTACATAATCCGTATTATTATTATATAAATATTATTGTATATATGTAACGTATAGAATTTCTTGTTCAAAAAAACTCGCCCTATAAAAATATTATTTTCATAAAACAATGATAATTTGCAAATTGTATGTGGTTTGATTACCTCTAACTGACACGAGCTTTGGTAAAGCGGGCGGTTTGGTAAAATCTTTAATAATCCTCTTACTCCCCGGACAATGCAGAGGTAGGAAAACCACATACAATTTACAAATTACATTACAAAGCAAGATTTGTGTTCGCAAATGAGTATATTATACTATTTTAGTACATTTATCTTTTTTTTTTTTTTTTTTTTTATAGGAGAGGGGGCAAACGAGCATGCGGTTCACCTGATGGTAAGTGACTACCGCCGCCCATGAACAACCGCAACACCAGGGGAATTGCAGATGCGTTGCCGGCCTTTTAAAAAGGAATAGGCTCTTTTCTTGAAGGTCCCTAAGTCGTATCGGTCCGGAAAAATCCCTGGTGGTAAACTATTCCACAAGGAAGTTGTGCGAGGAAGAAAACATCTTCTAAATCGCACAGTGGTGGACCGCCAATCATCCAGATGGTGTGGATGGTATCGGGAGTTCAGCCGCGATGTGCGTTCGTGAAATTTGGCGGCTGGGATTAATCCGAACAATTCCTCAGAGCACTCCCCATGGTAGATGCGAAAGAAAATGCAAAGAGATGCAACTTCTCTTCGCAGTGCCAATGAATCGAGCCGATCGGAAAGGGCTCGGTCGTCGACGATTCGAGCCGCTCTGCGCTGGATGCGGTCAAGTGGAAGGAGCTGGCACTGGGGAGCCCCTGCCCAGAGATGGGAACAGTATTCCATGTGAGGCCGAACCTGCGCCTTGTAAAGTTGCAGGCGGTGTGCCGGCATGAAATACTGTCCCGCTCTGCTGAGCACGCCAAGCTTTTTAGAGGCCAATTTGGCCTTCTCTTCCAAGTGACCACGAAACTGCACGTCACTCGATATGTCGACTCCGAGGATACCGATACTGGCTGAGGCAAGAAGGGGAGTGCCTTGAAACTGAGGAGATACGACAAAGGGGTTCTTTTTAGCGGTAAACGCGCAAACTTGTGTCTTCTGAGGATTAAAATGGACTAGATTTAGTCGCCCCCAATCCGAGACTTTGTCCAGCAAAGACTCGACTTCAGACACAAGTTTGTTCCGGTACTCGGCGACGTTTTCCCGAGAAATATTGGCCCGGCCGGTGTATAGAGCATCACCAGTGCTGTCATCCGCATAGCAATGAATGTTACCAGTTAGCAACATATCATTGATATGCAGAAGAAACAGCGTTGGTGATAGCACACAGCCTTGTGGAACACCAGCGTTAATAGGCTTGTAGTCAGAACATGCACCGTCTACAACGACCTTGATGCTCCGATCTGCAAGAAAGCTGGTGATCCAATTGCACAATTTCTCGGGAAGCCCATAGGAAGGCAGCTTCGAAAGAAGCGCTTTGTGCCAAACCCGATCAAAGGCCTTCGCAATGTCCAGACTAACGGCCAACGCCTCCCCCTTGGACTCTACTGCCTTCGCCCATTATCTGTGTGGGTGCCAACATTTCTCATGCAAAGCTTTCACATACATTGTTATAAAATTGTTCTATAAAAAGTTCGTAAAGCGTTTTCTTTCTTACCTTAAAAGTTTTCACTAAACATAACTTTGATATTGGTGGTAATAATATATTAAGTATAATTTTTCCTTTCATATCGGTTTGGAGGAAATCCATTAATGAGAGAATTGTTTTTCTGGCAGTACTGCTTGCTATTCAAAATTTAAATATAATAAATTTTGGTATATATATAAACCTTATAATAAACAAATAATACTAATACTCAATAACAAAGCAAATGTATGAAGCTTGACTTAGATTAGTTTTTCTTACCAATGGTAATCATAGCTCCAACGGTTTCGAGAAGTAAAAAGATATCTGACTGAAATTCCCGATTCAAATGTTTCATAAACAAATTTCCACCAATAGTACCAATCTAAAAAATGCTATTCATAAATTACTTGAAACATTCCGTAACCTGACATCAAATTAAGACAAATAAATATGTTTTCTTTAACATTTTCTCGAGTCCTCTTTTTATATAACTTAAGCAAGTTTTTCTCGAAAATGTTAATATTACTATACGATTCAGATTATCATCATTATAGATGTCATTACAAGTCCTGATTTTTTTTTATAGAAGAGGGGGCAAACGAGCATGCGGCTCACCTGATGGTAAGTGACTACCGCCGCCCATGAACAACCGCAACACCAGGGGAATTGCAGATGCGTTGCCGCCCTTTTAGAAAGGTGTAAGCTCTTTTCTTGAAGGTTCCTAAATCGTATCGGTCCGGAAAATTCGCTGGTGGTAATTGATTCTACAAGAAAGTGCGAGGGAGATAACTTCTTCTAAATCACACAGAGGTGGACCGCCAATCATTCAGATGGTATGGATGGTAATGCGAGTTTTTGTCGCGATGTGCGATGGTGAAATTCAGCGGCTGGAATTAGTCCGAACAATTCCTCAAACCACTCCCCGTGATAGATGCGATAAAATATAAAAAGAGATGCAATATCTCTACGCAGTGCCAGTGTATCGAGCCGATCAGAAAGAACTCGGTCGTCGACGATTCGAACCGCTATGCGCTGGATACGGTCAAGTGGAAGGAGCTGGCACTGGGGTGCCCCGGCCCAGAGATGAGAACAGTATTCCATATGGGGCCGAACCTGCGCTTTGTAAAGTTGCAAGCGATGTGCCGGCATGAAATACTGTCTCGCTCTGCTGAGCACGCCAAGCTTTTTAGAGGCCAATATGGCTTTCCCTTCCAAGTGACCACGAAATTGCACACTATTCGATATGTCGACGCCAAGGATTTCGATACTAGCTGAGGCAGCAAGGCGAGTGCCTTGAAACTGAGGAGGAGAACGACAAAGGGGTTCTTTTTACCGGTAAACGCGCAATCTTGTGTCTTCTGGGAATTGAAATAGACCAGATTTAGTCGCCCCCAACCCGAGACTTTGTTAAGCAAAGACTCGACTTCAGACACAAGTTTGTCCCGGTACTCGGCGACGTTTTACCGAGAAATATTGGCACGGCCGGTATATAAGGCATCACCAGTGCTGTCGTCCGCATAGCAATGAATGCTACCAGTTAGCAACATATTATCATATGCAGGAGAAACAGCGTTGGTGATAGCACGCAGCCTTGTGGAACACCAGCGTTGATAGGCTTGAAATCAGAACATGCACCGTCTACAAAGGCCTTGATGCTCCGGTCAGCAAGGAAACTGGTGATACATTTGCACAATTTCTCGGGAAGCACATAGGAAGGAAGCTTTGAAAGAAGCGCTTTGTGCCAGACCCGATGGAAGGCCTTCGCTATATCCAAACTAACGGCCAATGCCGCCCCCTTGGACTATACTGCCTTCGCCCATCTATGATTCAGATAGACTAGAAGATCACCAGCTGATCGACTCCGACGAAAACCGTATTGGCGGTCATTAGTCAACTGGTGATCCTCAAGGTACCTCATGAGCTGGCAGTTTATAATGGATTCCATTATTTTGGAGAACAAGGAGGTGATGGCGATAGGCCTGTAGTTGGACGGGTCTGAGCGGTCGCATTTTTTAGGGATCGGGTGGACCAAAGCTGTCTTCCATGAATTTGGGACTACGCCTTGGGAGTAGGAGTATCGGAAAAGACGCGTTTAAAACGGTGCCAACTCCTGATCACACGTCACACACAACGCTGGGATCTTGCAGCGAGAAGCAAACTCGCCCCCAAGGGTAGGATGCAAAAAAAGACCGCATCCCGTCCCAATCAGCTGACCTATAGTGCCAAACACGGCGGCAAGTTGCGGATAACAACTGCGATTGAATCGTGAGTGGCACCGTACTCCGGATCAGACAATGGTCCGAAGAGCCCAGAGGGGCGTCGATGGAGACCTGATATCCGTCCGGATGAGAGGTCAGCAGAAGCTCCAACGGGGAAGGTACAAGGTCTTCCATATCTGGGATCCACGTAGGCGAAGTGACCAGTTGTGTTAGACCATATGCCAAAGCAAAGTCATAGACAGTACTACCCGCATGATTGGTTAAACGAGAACCAAGCCATTCAGCGTGGCGGGCGTTAAAATCACCGAGTATCACGATCTCTGTGGAAGAGACCTATTGTAGCACGGAGTCTGCAGCCATTTGGACGTGGTCGATGAGTGAGTCTGTGTCGGCATTACCGCTATGGGACCTATAGAGGCACCCGTAGATGCGGGGATGGTCGTCGCTGTCTACGCGCAGCCATAGGATGGACAGGTCCGTACCTTCAAGACTGCCAAATGAACTTCCTCTAGGACTGTTACAAAACGCGATATTGAGTGATGCATCTGCATGACTGAAGCATCACCTCAACTCATCTATTAGAGTGAATGGGGTAGCCCTCCACTCTGCTCACCGAAATGAATCTTTATTTTACGAAGTATTTTTTTTATAACTTACGTTTTTTACAGGAACATGAGCCACTAAATCTAAGTGATCATAAAATTCTTTTAAGTATAAAAAGTCTTCATTTTCAGAGCACATTTTTAAGAATATTTCCATCATTTCAGATAATGAAATTCCTGCGCCGAGTATTAAATTAACATCCAATAAATATCCCTTAATTTCGGCAACATCAGCAATGTCAATCATATTTAAAGGATAGTCTGTTATATGATATACTCCTGAAATATAATTCAATAGTTCTAAAAGTAAAGGACTAATTAGCGTAATGTATATTAACTAATTTGTTATTTTTATAGAATAAGGGTGACAACACACAATCCACTCGATGGTAAGTGGATACTATTTCATTTAGCTAAAAGTTGACGTCGAAAGGCTTTCAGAGCATCAGTCTAGGTGCTAATGAATAAGGCGTTAATCTGCGGTAATCGCTACGCTTGGTAGGAAGATGGGGGATAACAATCGTTGCACCCTTTGATGCTTTGGTTGCTAGTCTAGGGTACTTTACATTTGGAATAATATACACGATTTAACATTTAAAAATAACACTTATAAAAATTGATTACCTTGACCCGTGTTACCAGCTATTAGCTTATAGTCGTTTTTATTTTGATCAATAATTTTAAATACGTCATTCAAATTGTATACTTTAAACCATTTGAATGCATCATTTTTCACTGTTAAAGCTTCAGTGTTAATATTACCAAGAATACACCATGGACCATCAGTATTGGTTTCTGCATCAAATTTAACTTTGATTTGTGTACATTGAGTCGAATTTCTATACGAACATATTTTAGGGCATTTCACTCCGCAAGCTTTAAATTTTGATAAGTCTTCTACGTCGATTAGTTTTTTCAGGATATCCTGATCGGCATCTGAAGCAAACGTTTTGAAAGCATCCGCAATTGATCTGTACCCTGTGCATCTACAAATATTGCCAGCAAATGAGTTTTCTATTTCTTCTGTACTTAGTTTTCCGTTTTTTGATTTATACAGACTGAAATAGAAATTGGTTAAATATTAACTCCATAGAAATATTTAATTATATTTCTATGGATTTTATTACATTTTTTAATTTTCAAAGGGAAACATTCAGGATCATCAAACGATTTTGAAGATTAGGAGAAAGAAAAATACCGGCGGACAATATGGGTGGCATCGAAGAGCACTTGAATGTATTTGAATCCAGAACGGTCCATCACGGACTCCATTAGTCGTTATTGTACCCAGAATCTAACTGGGATTAACGCGTTCGCAGTCGCGACTAGTGGTATAATTTCAGTTCCCAAATGTTGGCCACCTCGTAAGCTAGGTTCAGTCTGTTCAATGGTATCTATCATACTTTGGTTACCTGTACATATTCATTATCCAACCAGGCGTGCAATACCCGCATTGTGTCCCATTAAAATTTGCCAATCTGGTTTGAATATCATGAAATCCAATGGTTCTGTTTCCAATGCCTTCTACAGTTGTTACTTCCCATCCATGACAGGACAAAATCGACACAAGACACTGGAAGCAAATATAATATAACAATGTAATAAATATAACAGTCTGGTAAAAATTAATAAAAACTAAAACAGAAGTCAAAACTAAATCCATCATGTGGTCCCGTGGGTGTCGTAAGAGGCGTCAGAGGGAAACTAAAACAAGAAATGGGTAGCAGTATTTTCGTGACAACAACTCAAAATTATAAAAACTGCGGTTGCGAACCCACCTGTCAAGCGTGGCAACTGTGGAAAATATTCCTCTTATGAGATGGCGTATGTTCAGCAGTGGACTTGATTCTTAGATATACAATTGTATGTCTTACAAGATTTTGTTAAAAATTGTATTCAGTGGTATATTAAATGTGACTTACGGAGTTGACAGAAAATATTTTCAGTTCCCCGGTCGATTGTGAGGGAATACGAACTGCGACTACACAGGCACCGCATCCTCCTTCGTGACACATGGATTTAGTGCCACGTAAATCTGCTACTGTTCTGATAAATTCGTTTAATGTGAAATCGGGACCATATCTTCCATCAACTGAAAAATATTTAAAATCTCTTAGAAATAACTATAGATTCGTCCCATTTGCTATAGATATAGGTCTAACAGGTGCCATGTGTGGTGAAGTTTCTAAAGAAACTGTATCCGTGACTTGCATATATATATAGCGATGTCAAGTGTGACAAAATCTCCCATGAGGCAATCTATGGGGAAGATCAACGTTCA